TCAAATTATTTCTGTAAAACATATTCATAAATCATTTAAATTTAAAATTGAGATTTGTTTTAGTTTTTCATTTAATACATTAAATGACATAAAACTTATCAAAAGAATAGACAAAACTTATTTGAATCAATTGAACTAAACTTTTAACTATATTAATTCTGGATTAATAATTTGTTCATTTGATTTGCTCAAAGTTATTAATTTTGAGTCCATATTTTGATTACAACGGAAACATTAGTTTAGATTACGACAGGAATGACAGCATTGGTGTACGTAATGAGCGATTCGACACATATTCAGCGATTTGGCCAAAAGACAGTGTTTGGATGTATCCACACATTCATCTGGTTTTATCACATTTTGTTAATTTAAGACAATTATAAGGTTTCTGTAAGTAAATACTTACTTTGACTACAGGTATGATTAGTGCACGACTGGAGGACTTCGGGTTTGGTTTTGTCATTACATGCATCACCGGCCGAATCGCCAGAATTAAACCAAACGCATTCAATTGTACGCCATTGATAGCCCTCTTCATTACATTTTGCGTTACACTATTGGATATCATTGAAAAAATTTTATCATAATTTTTATATTTTTACAAAGATTTACAAAAAAAATAAAATTGCAATATTATGAAAGATTACTAAAATATTATATTAATTATGTATCATCAATTGTGCAATTCATTGAAAACAGCAAATCTAATAAACTTAGTTGAATTATATTTAAAAAAGATGATTAACTAACTTGAGTCCATTGCCCTGTAATCCAAGTGCCTTCACATAAATCATTAATACATTGTTTTTGGATAATTGGTTTGTCCTGTGATTGGCATTCGTCATGATCGAGATGTGATCCATTATTTAGCGCACACTTCACTTCCCGGTGTTGTACACCAGTCCTCAAGTCTATGCATTTATTACACTGTAAATTATAGATTTGATTAAAAATTAAATCAAAACTTTTATTTGAGTTCATATTAAAAGTCTTACTTCAGACCACTGACCCGTTTGCCAAAACGGACAGTCAGATTGCCTGCAACTCCGGATAGTCTTCGGCGTCGGAAGACCAGCGGAGGCGCAAAACGTGTTATCTATGGTTTTAGAGATATTCTCGTATATTATAAGGCATTGACTGTCTCTGACCTGAGTTTTAAATAAAAATCAATCAGTGAATTAGTGTTGAGCACAATAAATATTTAATGTTATTTCAATACTTGATATTCAGTGCCATTGCAGGGCTGATCGCATTTGGACCAATCTGTGGTCAACCAATCAAACCTCAAGTGCTCTGGTCTACCATTTCTTGAGATCAA